ATTAAATAGGGAGTACATTTTCAAATTTTACTATTATTACATTTATGATATTAACTTTTCTTAATAATTTAAATTACATTAAAGTTCACATACAAATTTAAAAAAATTGAAAAAAATGGAAAAAATATTGAATGTTTAAATAATACATTATTGCGGATAACTACTTCTATTCGGAAATTCTACGTTCAGGTACGTCAAGGTAGATCACAGCAGATATAATGTCAAAATTTGCGTATCATTTTAAAATTCTTTCTTAAATTCAAAATCTTTCAAGTATTGAAAACAGCAAATGTGCATCACATTTTCACATAAAACCTGTGCTCTCGCTGTGGAAATAAAGTAAGTTAATATACTTTTCCAGGAACAGAAACCTACACGGTTCGAGCTTGTAAGGTTTCGACTTCAATCTACTAATCTGTTTTAGCGTATCATTTTTCCATTCTGTCATAAATGGGAGAACATGTCAAAACAAAAAATAGCCGAGTTGTATTCTGGAGGAAAATTCTAAAAATGGGATGTTCTAGTTTTTCGCGGTTTCACTTATAAGCTAAAGAAGAGCACGGCATTTCCTTTCTTGCCCTATCTCTCCTTCTTCCATTACACACACAAACACACTTACAAGCACTACACTACCACGAATGTCAAGAGACCAATCAGGAGTTTACAGCTGGCAGTGCCCGGTTTGAGGTGATATCTGGAATGGGACACCCCTCCCCTAGGGCGTTGTGCACGTCTCCGCTGGAGCGCACGTTCGATCGGAGAGGAATACAGCGAATTCCGGGCAACATACACCACACTTATGGGTCTAATAAGCTTAAGCAGTCTGGCGCGTCAATACTTACTTACACACTGAAAACAAAACAAGACTCTAAGTCTAAAGAAATTGAAAGTACTTATATTTTATTTCAACGGAAACTTTTAATTATACATTTTTATTGGCGGCATTTCTCGGTGCACTCAAGAGGAATATACTGAGAGTAACACATCAGTAAGTGGCGGTGACAGATTATAAAATGCAATAACCGTGAGGGTCGTGTGTGAAAAGAAAAGAGATCAAGTGAGAACAGGCGAGCGGAGGGGTCGTGCGGTGCGTTGGCAGGGGCGCCACCCAGGAGGACCGGACGCGAAGCGGTCCGTCTGAGTGACCGCTCATTCGCACGACCACACGTCCACTGGGGGGCGGTGCAGCCACATTTTACGAAAACCGGGTTTATGACACTGTGAGTTCGTACTGACACAGCAAGAAGGCAGGCAAAGAGAGCGTCCACTGCTTACAACAAATGACGACGCCTTTCGTGACGAAGTGAATGGTCAATTTTGAGTTCCTTATATTTCCCAATGGATCTCATCAACCTAATCATTTGTAAGTACACGACACACCTTCTTAGGAAGAAATATAATTAACTTTCATACTTTCATAGGCGTTAGAGCTACAGCAATACCCTTGTCGGTCCGCGCTCCAGTGTGTATCTTGTGTAGTTCTTGCGACAGCAATAAGCATCGGGCACATTCACAAAGAACACGATAACATACTAGGCTTCAAAACACTCTCAAGTAAATATTACACAATTATGAGTGTACCATTATGATACAGTGATAGTAACGTTGAAGGCAGCCACTTAGAGCCCTGCCGCCCGCAGGCAGTGAGCGAGCGGCGCGGGCCGGGCGCACGGGGCGTGCGCGCCCAGCGGTTGGCAGGCGTGCTCGCGCGCGCCGTCCGGGGGCGGGGGCAGCAGTGGGCGCGGGGCCCGCGGGGGGCGGGGCCCTCTGAATGAGAAGGAATGCGCGTCCGCCCTCCCGCTCCCGCTCCCCCTCGCCATACACCGACCGGCCCCTCCTCGCGCGGCGCGGAGCGGCACGGCACGGCGCGCCGCCACCAACACCCGACCGCCACCGCCACCGCCACCGCCACCGCCGGCGCGCCTGACCTGGCGGCGGCGACCTTGCGCTGGCACGCACTCACGCACGGCGCACGCACTCTCGCCCGCCGCCCCGCCCAGCTTCCAGAAGAGCGCTGCGCGAAAGCAGCCCCCCGGGCCCCGCTCCCCAGGCGACGTCGCACCTGGCCATCGCCTCCCAGGCAGGCGCTTTCTGCTCTCACCCCAATGTTTACGTCTCTTCCAAATTGTGAGGGCGGCGTTAGTGTGAGTCCACTCTTCAAATTAAAAGGAAGTCACTACTTCCTCAAGTACATTGGGATTACAAATCAGGGGACACACAAGAACAAATTGGCCAACAATTAAAACGGTATTTACAAATAATTAGGAAGAGAGATTTCAGCATTCACTAATAGAGAAATTAAAATATACAACAAACTAATGAGTACACTCTTAACATTTAGATTTCAAATGAAGCTAATGCCTTAAATTTTCAATATGAATATAAAATAATGAACAATAACGTAGATAAACCTTAAATAAATAATGAAATACGCCAGCGAAATATTTCAACGCGTTCATTTAGGAATACGAAATGTATTCGTGCCAGTAGCTTCACGGGAAATAGCATCAATTTGCCGCCCTGTTATAAAATTGAGGACGAGAATCGTCTTTAAAATTCTAAAAATACGCTGACTAGGGCCGAATTCTATGAAACGCAACGCCCCGAGTAGGCGATTTGCCAAAAAGAAATAGTCGTAAACCTTGACCCGCTGGGAGGAGATCACGGCGCTGCCCCAAAGGATTCGAAGCGCAGCTTCCAACAGACACCTCTAGAAATGCACCACAGTTCCACTTAAACACATCACACTTCCTTACCGAATTATCTTGGTCCTCATTCATGTCCTGTAATTATTTCTTCTGACGTATTTCGATAGGAGTTCAATAACAAAGAAGTGAAGTTGAAAACTACATAAAAATGAATGTGAAGGACTAAATGAATATAAGAATGAGGGTATTATTTTTACATGAATACATGCTTTACATACGGTTGAAGAAGGTAGGGCAAGGGCCAGCAAAGGATACGTATTGCTTAACTGACTTGCCAACTGATTGGCGGTTTTCCAAATTAATGAGTCAGAGGCGTGGTTTTGGCCAACATTATTATTTACAACAAGAGCAACTTTCGATAGCTTAGCCATCATCGTCAGTTATCTAGTGCAGAAACATGAAATAAAAACATTCAATTATGAATTAATAGATACGTAATTGAAAATGTAGTAATTTTTAAAATAATATAAATTAACATTACATAACAAATGGAGAAATGAAAAGGCGGAACGACTAATTATTTATTAATATAAAAATAGTGAATCTAAACAAGAAATAGATAAATAAAAGTGAAATACGAAGAAATTTGTAATAAGTAATGCAAGTTGAAGAAAGCCAGAAAACTCCCGGAAACTCAGTTGTGGTTTTCTGGTTTACGAACAGCAGGTACGAAACGGTTCAAGTTGCTTTTCATGTTCTTAGTACAAAAGTTTACACTTTCATTTTCATTTATCTATTTCTTCCAAATATTCACTATTACTGGCGTGGTAAATGATATATCACTCCGCCTCCTCTTTTTCATTTCTCCATTGATTATGTTATATTCATTTATATTATGTTACAATCTGATTATTAAATTTTCAATTATCTACCTATTCGATCCTAACTGAATGTTGTTGTTTTTATTTCATTAGTTTCTGTGTCAGGAAAGTGACGACGATGCCTAAGTCACAGAAAGCTGGTCTTGTATAAAAAAAATGTTGGCCAAAAAAGGATACGTATTAGATATTGACTGCGACGATATCGAAAGCAGCAACATGCGACTGCGACATGAAATTAATATGTATAGAACCGAAGTAACGTTAAGGCGATATAGCAATGTTGGTGTCAAACATACGTGAAACAGGTGGCCATGTGCAGAAAAAATGAAGCACATGAAATCAGAGATTGAAAGAAATTCCAATTAATCCCAATTCGATGAAAATGATAGTTCAAACCGAGAGAAATCCAATCGAACAGGATCGGAAATGGGTCGGGGTTGAGCAGACTGCACAGTGTCATCCAGTACGAGGTCGGAACCCCAGTGAAGGCACGGGCTGGGACATCTTCGCGGCCTGGGAAGAGGCGCGTCATGAGGACGGAACGACGAGAGAGAGAGAGGGAGCGAGGGAGGAGAGGCGGGGCGAGTACAGAGACAGACATACGTTTGGTGGGGTGCAACGGAGGAGAGGAAGGGGCCAGGCGAGGCGATGCGTAGCGGGCGGAGGGGGGTGGACGGTGCGGTGGGCGCGGCGGGAGCGAGCAATTGCGCGTGGAGCCGGGGCGTCAACAGGGCCGCCGCTGGGCCGCAATAAGGGCGTGCGCCGCGCCGCGCCGGTGCCTCATAAGGTCGCGCTCAGCCGCTTCCGATTGCTCCGCGCCAGGCGACGCGGCGCCCCGGCAGGGAGCCTCCGTCTCTGAAGCGGCAGCGCCAAGCGACCAACGGGCTGCCCCTCTCGCCAACACATTTCAACAAACCGGAAAAGCATACACATCAGAGACCTAGAGTGGTGTGGATCAGCATTACCGCGTACTCTACTGGACGTCGCAGATCAAAAGGATCGCATACGTCATGCGCCTTGTGGCTCGTGACTTGCAGATTGCCGGGCGCGACCTCTCCGGGCCGAGCGCCGTTGGGGCTGGCGCGCGCGGAGGTGCGCTTGACACGGGGCCATTAGGCGTCGCGCGGCGCGGCCGACCGCGCTTCCAACATTTCATGCGACCACGCAAAACCTTACAACAGGTTTGGTTCAAAGAAACTTGCACAAGCTGATGTTTCAGGCCCAGAATATTAGGTTCACTTAACACTACGGAGGTCAAGAGAGTGAACGAGTTGCGAGCTCACTACGGGGAGGTTGTACAGCCTTTCTCTGTAATGTTAATTGTGTTGTAATTATGTACTTTTATCTCTAAAACTATTTTATAAAGTTCTTGGAAATTTTATACACTATTTTATAGCAATGTTCTCATCACGCAGTGTTCTTTAACGATTATACATCATTTACATTGTTTAATACGTTTTTGCCAACATACTATTTTTTAAATATTTTTTGTAAATATACTCGAACAAAAAATCACAGCAAAAACATGATGAAAAAGTAGTGAAATTTTCATACAGATACGTGCAATAGCTTTTCAGAACATTTAGTATATGAAGACAACAAATAATGTTCGGGAAATGCAGGATTTGTGACACCAATACTCTAAGATAATCCTGTTGCATATTCTGGCTCTTCACTATCTTCCTCATCAATATCTGAACTTTTCCTCTTTCTTCTTTCAATCTTACTTCTTTCCAATATTTTTTTTTCTAAATCCTCTTCTGCCTTTTGGTCCTTTGATTAAGTGGTACTGTAGTGTAGTAGTGTCTTGTAGTGACTAAGACACTACAATACACTTGGCGGGACTAGACATTTAAATGGCATTTTCGAGTTCTTCTAAACAAAATATATCGAAAATGAATATTGCACTATGTTACGTGAATATTAAATATTCAAAATAACACAAAAACGAAAATTGAAAATGTTGGTCCTATGACGTGTCCCCTTAAGCTTTATCGGTTGGTTGGGAGATTTTACGTTCCATCTTCATGACAGGCGAAATTTCCACACCAGCTAAATAGCTGTGGAGGACGACGATTCTGTTCCGATCAGTTGCTCTGATCGGTCTACGCTGTGGTTTCTTCCGATCAATTCAGGTGGGTTCCGGTACAATACCGTAAAGAACAGACTAGACATGGCAAGGGTTCTAGTTTTCTTCTCCCGTTCCCATCGTCACTCCCGTCTCTACAAGCCGACGATTGACACGGCCCCGTCCCCATAAGCCCAATTCTTACAATTTCGGAAAACTAGCAAAGTCTAAGCGTGCGCTGTGAGATTAGAACAGCAGCGTTACTGGAAAGAGAGGGCGGGTTTTGCAGAAGCACTCTGCATTCGTTTTCAACGAACTGATTCCATGATTACAATTGATCTAGGTCCATATATCTAGGACTGCTTAACACAGAGTCAATGCTCCACTACGCCCTGACGTTTCTACACACGATTTGAGTTGAGTCTAAGCACAATTGATCGAAGAGGCCTTTACAGTCTGAAGAGACTGTTACTGGCAGCTATCGTAACTACACTAAGCGGCTCGTAGAAGCATCGCTGGCCCTCCGTCCCCGCCAACCCCGCAGCGAGCACTTGGCCGACCTCCTCGTAGCCAGTGTCTTATCCAGTAACTCCAAGACCACAATTGTTAGGGGCAAAGGCGTTCTGGCCTCTTCAGATGACAGTACGAGGGATGTTCAGATCACAGTCTGAGAGTTTTAAGAAGGTTGTGGGAAAATGCTAAGGTTCAGCCAGGGACCTCGAAATCTCCTAGTAAAGAAAGTATCGATACATCGACATTATCAAATTCCATTATAGATTATTTAAATTTTGATAAATTTGAAACGTTAAGCTTTTGACTAATTATTCATCATTGAAAGAATTTCATGAATTATAGCAACACGTTAATTGTAATTATTCATACTCATTATCTCTAAAGAAGATCTTATATTTAATGCACAAGTTTTGCTTTGCATTTACACATTTACTTTACTGCATTTGAGATACAGTCGACAAAGGAGTCATCCCGGATTTCCTAATTGTATTTCTGATACGTTTTTAACACGATACAAATACATTAGTACCTACCTCTTAAGGTTGACGAAGGACTCACAGAATGTTATACTAACAACTACGTACGTATGGTGTACAGGAAGCTATTTTCTTTCCTTATTTGTCGCACGTAATGTCAGGTAGCGCCCATTTATCTCGTTAAATACAGTCAAGGCCAATTTTCAGTTGCATTTTATTAGGTGGCTAAAGAATGCGGCTAGTAATCTCTCTCCATACAATTACGAAATATAGGAGCAGTTATGTAAACATTCTTATGACTAATATACGTTATTACATTAGGTACTTACACAGCGACATTAATGCGCGTCAGCGGGTATACTATGTGTCTATGATTCTTAACGAGAATACCGTTATCAGCTAAGTACCTTACCGAGCAGTGCCATTCACTGAATGCGAACTCTCGCGGTGGACCTCTCTGATCGATTCCAATTGTTTGTCCCAGCCATTCCACGCGAATGCCGGAGCTGTCTTCACCACCTGGCCACGGAAGACGCGCGCTTCATCCTTGCTGCTCTTACCCACTCTCTCACCCCAGCCCCACACTGCGCATGCCCCACCCACAAAGACTCCCGCGCATTCAAAAGAATTCGGACGTGCTCGAATGGGGCTGAAACGCCACAGGAACGGGAGAATATGTAGGCTTCGTCGATACTTCGCTTTCTAAAATAATCTACGCTCCGCACTTTCTTTGCAATTCTTCAATTAAGTGCTCAGCAGCGTATGGGAATTCCTCCTCCAACAGAGAACAATTAACTGGAACATTGGAGTTTTTGTGATTTGGACATTCGATTAAAAATTACAATATTTTTCAATGAAAAACAGTTTTAAGCGAGACTCGACTGCAGCCAAGGCGCAATGGCGGCCGTTGGAACCAAATAAGAAGAGAAACTACTTCTGCTTTTCTCGAAAAATGTACATTATGGATTAGTCACTTTCCTGTTGGAGGTGTTATAAATTCATTGAAATCTGCAATAAATTGTTATAAATATAACTAATCCGGGTTGCCAAGTCACTCTACGTTCACGTGATGTAAAGCAATGTTAAATAACAGTTAATGTTCACAGTAATTAACAATATACACAATCATCAACAGGGCTGTAATTGACTTATGACTCCTGATAATCGTCGATTCTCTGCGAGTAGTTTCAGGAAGACTGCACTACAGAGATACAAACACTTCAAACGTCCAAAGCCTACGGGACAACCACTAAGGGGATACACAAGAGAAAACTTCGAAACCAATTCAAAATATTCATATCAATCTGACAAGAATAATTAAAATTTACCAACGAACTCGTGCATCTAGTATAAGCAAAATAAATTATCCGATGGCCCAGTTGAGCAGGCAGGAATACATCCAGAATGTGCACAAGGGGAAAGTTAATTTATGTATTTCAAGAACGAGACAGATAGAACACGAGCCGTTAGATCACATTCTTTACCCTCTTCGCGGGAATCACTCACTGAACCATTCGCTATTTGGCTCTTCCTCTCAGACTGGAAATAACACCAATTAACTCCTTCGTGCACTTACCATTAGTCGGCGCTGTGGGTTCGCTCTCGGGGGGACACGTACCTACAACAAAAGAGAATCATTAGGCGCCATTCTTTTAACATCATTCTATTCAGGTGACATCAACACATGCAAACTTTTATGTTACATAGAAAACTCATGACGTCGTCTAAAACAATAGACAAACCTAGCAACAACGAAATGAAATGCGAACATGATCTCCGAAAGTTCAAAATAAACTAGTGGAAGTATTAAAATGCAGTAAACCCTTGTTAACCTGTACTCCCTTACCACGAATTCACGTAACATGAACAAACTTTTGTTTCCGGCGTGGAAACGTATAATTACACTACTACTACTAATACATACACATACGCTACTACTAATAATGACAATAATTAGATAACACGAATTTGTATAACGCGAACAAGATTATTTCGGTTCCTCGGAATTCGTGTTAACGAGGGTTTACTGTATTGGAAATTGTATCCTGCAAATAACACTATTCAACAATGATTTCATTAAATACACGAATTCATTAGTATTTTCATCAGGTGAATCCAAAAATGAAGTTGGAAATGTTTCATCACTCATTTTTTGTAACACTAAAAAATAATTCTGTTTCATGTTTTAACGTAGGTGGTTATAAAAGAGTTGACAACAAGTAGATAATTACTGCATTGTATTAACAAATGATTTCAAAAATGAAGACGTTTAACTGAAAATCGGGCATACCGCATTTATACCGGGCATAACCTTCCAAGCCCTATCCGAGCATTTTTTTTAAAAAAGGAAGCAAACTTGGAGAAAAGGAACGGGCGAACAGACATAAGGGCAGACGAATGGACGAACAGACGACCCAACGAACAGACGGACAGACGAACTGACACACAGACAGACGAACAGACGCACAGACAGACGAACAGACGAACAAACAGGCGAGTGGACGAACAGACGAGTGGGCGAACAGACGAGTGGGCGAATAGACGAGTGGGCGAATAACGAGTGTGCAAAACAGACGAGGGGCGAAACAGACGCAGTGGCGCATAGACGAGTGGGCGAACAGACGATGGGCAATAGACGAGTGGGCGAACAGGACGGAGAGGCGAAACAGACGAGTGGGCGAATAGACGAGCGGCTACAGACGAGTGCGCGCGATAGACGATGGCGACATAGACGAGTGGCGAACAGACGAGCGGGCGAACAGACGAGTGCAATCAGACGAGTGGCGACAGACGAGTGCGAATAGACCGCATGGGCAACAGACGAGCGGGCGAACAGACGAGTGGGCGAATAGACGAGTGGCAACAGACGAGTGGTGCGAAGAGACGAGTGGGCAATAGACGTGGCGAACAGACAGAGGCGAAAGACGAGTGGGCGACAGACGAGCGGGCGAAACAGACGAAGTGGGCGAATAGACGAGTGGGCGAACAGGACGATGGCGAATAGACGAGTGGGGCGAACAGACGAGCGGGCGAACAGACGAGTGGGCGATAGACGAGCGGCGAACAAGACGATGGGCGAATGACGAGTGGGCGAATAGACGATGGGCGAAACAGACGATTCGGGGAACAGACGAGTGGACGAATAGACGAGTGGAATAGACGAGTGGGCGAACAGACGAGCGGGCGAACAGACGAGTGGGCAATAGACGAGTGGGCGAACAGATTCTTATGTGGGCGAACAGACGATGGGCCAAACAGACGGACGAAACAGGTAAATGTGCAGCTACATCTATTAGCTAAGACCCAAACTTACGAATAATTTAATTTGAGTACCTACATTTTTAGTTTCTGTATGATATTAAAAAAGCGTACACAAATTAACATATCGTAACTTCCTAAGAAATATATTATTTTGTATTTGTGTAAGAAGAAGGTGACGTCGTCAGAATTCAATGTGTTTTGATGTAGGCGTCACATAAATGCAGCCGAGGCTTTTTAAAAAATAACTTTGCCATGGCAAAGATTTACAGTTTTTCGAGCCTTCACTAACTGGTTGCACATTCACATCTATCCATGTCATCTTCTTTCGGTATTCCATGATACTTCTTTCATAGATTGATAGTTGATGATGCACCGTGAAATCTGTGCCCCCTTTCATGTTTTAGCTAT